CGAAAGTGTCAACTGCCCCTAACGGCTGCTTTTAAAACAATGTGTTAATCGTGCTGACGTAATTTAGCAAATTTGCCTTTGCATGAATAAGTGCCTATAATAAAGTTTCTGTTTCGTGTTGGAAAGTTTTCTTAGTTTTTCAAAGCTTGATAATTTGCATCACTTTTTATTACCACAAAGCGTTGCAGACATTTCTTTTGCACACTACATGAAACTATCGACCTTATGCGTCAGTCAATTCCAGCTGCGCCCACCCCCCCCCTCCGGACATTACCATTTTTTTTGCCTTGGATGGCAAATTCCCGACGGTGGGGACTCTTGAGCTGTCAAATGCCCCGTCCTCTGTGATCGCACAGTCGAGTAGTGCCATTTTAAGCATTTTAATTTGCGATTTTTTGTTTCAATTAATTTCTTCCTTTGTAACAGTGCTATGCTAATTGAGACTTCACGCCGTGACGACACTAATTTATGGTTTTAGTATAATATTTGTTATAAAATTATTGATATTTTAAAAATTAATAGTGCGCTGTAAAGTTAACTGCTATGAATAGTTTTATATGAAAGGATGTACGTTCTTCAAATAATATCAAGAGAAACTTGATTCAATAACCAAAAATACGTGGATTCACGTCGGTAGCTCCCGAGTTTTGCTATGTAATAATATACACGAAAAAATTACTTAATTCTGATTGGCTGAGAAAGGAGTGCAGCTCTTCTTTAACACGAGTGCAAAATGTGTAACACGAGTGCAAACTTGTAACACGAGTGGAAATTACAAATGCTTTCTGATTGGCTGAAAACACAAAAGAAACCAACAAGAACCAATCAGATTAGAGATGTTTTAACAACAAAAATTCAAGAAAATGGCCATGGTTTTCAGCAGACGACAGCGGGATTTAATTTTGTAAGCAAAACAACAATAAAAAAGTTAAAAAAATATTCCAAAAACCCGAACACAGTAAAAAGTACGTCTTTCTGGCTAAATGTATTGAAAATGCGTTGCTAAGAGAAAAATACTGTCAACAAATTTCGAGGAAAATGAGCCAGAGAAACTAGAAAACAAGCTACTTATAACAGACTACGCTAAAGTAAAAAATAAAGAACAAAAACGGTTGCAACCACACACAAACCATGACAGCTACAGAATGAACAAGGATACAATTCCATGATAACAACAGGGATTTCAAGTCATGTACGTAATTTGTTGCTCTCTTTGAGTCTTGTGGAGCGAAGACCTCTATTAAAACATCCATGCGATGGTCTGTGTTTTTTTCTACCTCAGTAGCAAACGAAACCGAAAATTTAAACATCTGGTCCAAACTAAACCAATGGGCGAAAATACCACAACTCACATAATGAAAGTATCCGCAGCTGGTACTTGCCTTAAAGAAAATGAGAAAAAAGTTTACGAATCATTGTACAAGAAAAACAACAGTCAGGATGCTGAAGAAGCAAAGATTGTAAGTTCAGAACATATCGTCAGTGTCACAGGTCACAGAGGTATAAATTTCCTTAACGACCACGATGAAGCCGACTAAGAAGAGCTACGATGACTCTTGCAGTAGGCCAAATAAGATAATTAAAACTCCAGCGCTGATATAAAGCAAATATTATATAATACTGGCAGTTTCCGACATCACAACAATTGTGGCTCCACTCACCCATCGATGGCAGCGTCGAAGGAAAACAAATTGCCTTCTTCATTTTTGGGTTTTAAATCTCAAAAATTTGTCCATGAATCCGGCTATGATGAGGTCCCAGGAACAGACAATGATAAACAGTCGTTAAAAAACCTTAGCAAGTGTCTTTCGTCTTTGGTTGCTCGAAGCGTTCTCCTGATTTCAAAACGGCAGTATACTTCTTGAAAACGCTTCTTGTAAACGCCGAGCTCTCATAATCGAGGATGAATTTAAAAACACTTACTTTTCCTGATTGTTGTAAACCAAGTTATCTTTAACCGGCTGGTGACCATATAAAAAAAATCCTTGCACATTTCCAAGTTCTCAGCTGAATGATTTTGAAAGCATTGTTCTTGAAAAAGTTTGAATTTGACAAAGGTAGTAGTCTGTTTCAGCCAATCAGTTGAATGAACTAAAAACGCGCGCGCTGTCAAAATTTGTTGTTGTAGTTATGTTTTTCGTGTATATTATTAATAAGTAATCACATGATTTTTCTCGTGCAATTTGGAATAAATAAGCACTTGTAAATTTTTCAAAGACCACAAAGTGCACTCGCCCTACGGGCTCGTGCACTTTTGTTGGTCTTTGAAAAATTTACTCGTGCTTATTTATTCCAAATTGCACTCGAAATCATGTGATTACCTATACTAATTCTGACTTGATGAGAAATGAAGAAATGCATAGATAAAATCGAGAACATGCCTTTACAAACCTCTTCAATTCTTTCCCATCCTTGAAAAAATGAGGCAATCTGCTTGTTTTTCAAGTAAAATCCTGTGTGTAGTTATCATCTGATAGGAAACCGCGTGCGTGTCAAAAGCTCGGGTTTGGAATTGACTGATGCATTAACAGAAGTCTTCCTCAACCAGAGGCCTTGCGGAGGGATTTAACAAACGAAAGGAGACAAAAACTAAAAACTTAAATTAACCTGGGAACTAGTTACTAGTTGTTACTTAACTGATACTGCAATCTGAACAAGGACACTTTTTCAATTCATATGGCCGAACACCAGTGCACATTCGAAAGTCAATTTAATTGCGTTCTAGTGCTTTCCTCAGCGTCAAGCATTGCTGTTACTATTTTTAAGCAAAAGACGACAAATTGAATAAAATATAAACTCCAAAAAATTTATGCTTAATGTGATAGACTTTAAGAGAGCTGCATACTGACTACGACGGCTCAGTGACGCTTGTGGCTTAAAAAGCGATCATTATGAATTTAAGTCAAAAGAAGCAAGAATCGGAAAAAGAAAAAGTTGTCCACCTTCCTCAGATTGAGTTTAAAGGCTGCATTTTTTTTTCGAATATACGAAGAAGAGGTTTAAAAATTGATGAGCAAACTATCGATTAAGGCTTCGGTAACTCAGAAGATTTGAATAAAGGCTAAACTAATTTTTTTTTCAAGACAAAATTAACATATTCAATGAAATTTGTAATATCAAGCGAGGATAATCCTCTCTTAGTAATACATTAGCTCCAGCATGGTCTGTTAGTTAATTCATTGCCTTCGGTGTGCCAATATAAAATAAATGTAATGGATCAAGAAAATTGTCGCTTGTGTAAACAAGAATTATAGCTCTTTCACTGAAAAAAAAGGATAAAGTAGATTATAATTCCAAACAGTCACGTAAACAATAACACATCTTAGACTTTTGGCCATTCTTTCTATTTCTGTCACCACTCAGTTGCGTTGTCAGTCAGGGGTTCTTTCTGCACATACTCATCGTTCACTTAGGTTTCAAACTGAAGGTCGTGTGATTAAAAAGCTTTTAGATTAGTGTCTTATCCAAGATATAAGCAGGTGTTGTTAAAATAAATCGAGAAAAGAAATATTGCCTTACACACTGAAAAATCGCGTTTTAATAAATTTACAATTCATGTTATAATAGCAAGAACTAAAACTGACATAAAAAGAAGATAAAAATGTAGTAGGAAAAAAAAGAAAAGAAAACAATTTTTTGTTTGTGTCCTCTAGGTAACGCTATAAAGTTGAATTTTAATAATTCGAATAAAACATGGGATCTTTTTCAAAGCATCTTAAAATCGCTGGCGCCACATGTTCACTTGTTTCGTAACTCTACTTTGTGAATCTAGTCTTTCTGACGGAGAAAACATGTTTTCAACCAGAATGTCACGTATCTGTGTTTTGAAGTGTCGCAGAAAATATGCAAACAGCTGCAAAAGTGCTAAGAGACACTCAGAAGAGAAACTTGTCAGTACCCGCGCAGCGGTTCTTTTAAAAGGGCGGGTTCTGCTGGATTCAAGTGCGTAGCAGACGGGTGGTGGTGTTGGTAGTTGGGATGCTGTAGATTGGGGATTGGTACGAGGGCTTTTACAAGCCCTTTCACGAGATTGTTGATCTAGCTGTCATTAGAATGCTAAGATACTATCGCCAAAAAGCTGATTGCAGTGTGTTGCACTAATGGATAAAAGCAGTCTGAAATTCCTTTCGCTCCACTAGCATGCGATTCCTTGTTCATCACTTTAGATCAATAGACCTTTCCACGGTTTTTTCAACTGTTTTTTTATATAGACAAGTTAGGGAAAATCCGTCGACTTTGCTGAAAAGATCGAGCGCCTTTACAAGTAAATTAGTAAAATTGTCAGTTTCGAAAGTGAATTTATTGAAAACTAACAAAGATATAGCTCCTCTAAGTCGCGAAAATTTACAGACCTTTGTATATATGGTGGGGGTACGAACACCAACGTCTGTACATTTTCGCAACTTTATTTCGGAATTATATCTTTGCTCGTTTAAGACGTAGGTCTGTCAAACTTCGCAATTTTATTTATGGTAGAGGAATGCCAGGAATTTAATAATACGAAAAGATATAAGACAATGAATAAAGTTAACCTCCCAAACTTTAACATTTATTTTCTTGACTACAATATTTTCTCAGGGAGTCTAAAGGGATTAGGAATGGCTGTAATTTACATTAAAGTAAATTTAACTACTACGGTATGTGAACAATGATAGTAATTAGGAAGTTAGAATGGCGATACAGTGTATGTATCTTGAAATAATTGTCCTCTAAAATAATAGGCTCCTACTCCTAACCCGAATCGTAATCAGGTAGAACCTCGGTAACCAAGCCTCTCTATAACGAAGTCTTCAATTAGCATATTAACCAACGATATTCTACTTCTTCGCCCTTGAGTGCATTTCTAATAACGCTAGCAAGCATGCATAACAGATTACAAATAGTTTCAGCCTCCTTAAAAATTCTGGTGTCACAGAATAATACCTTAATTTAATGATGTTTTCACTTTGAGTCCGTCATGTAGAAATGCCTTATAAGTGACATTCAAGTGTCTACAGGGGTCATACATCTGTCGTGGTCAAAAGCAAATGGTTTGTCATAACCAATAATTGATCGCTCTGATCTTGGCGATGTACAGTAGGATTTGCTTCTCGAATCTTGTCTTTGTCTTTGTCACTTCTCATGTTGCTCCACCCCAATGCGATTGAATCGTGATTGGCTGTGTCTGATCTTCCAATGCTTCTCGCTGCTTTCCAATTCGTCTTTTTTCGCAAGTATGCCGCTCGCACGTCAGCATTCCTCAGAACGTGAAGTATGAAAATGAACAAGCCCTGGAAAATTAAATAAGTAATCAGCAGAAACTTAGAACTCGGATGGATTATTAGTAAATGAAGAGGGCACTTGGAAACATTAGTGTGCAACAGAAATCATAAATTGTGACGTGACTTGAGACATTTCGATGGCCAAAATTTCCGACGCACTCTTTTCTTGTAATGTTTCATATTATTAGATATTTTCATATCGCATCAATGCAATTTTGGTCCAATTATTCAGGATGGCAGATCTAAGCAGTTTTTGCCCTGACGTATATCCCACGTTACACAAACCGCGTTGCGTCATGTGATTAACGTTTTCTCTTAGTTATAACCGCACCTACAAGTTTTTTTACGCCTGTCTGCAATAATCTAACAACTCCGTGCTGGTTAGGCAGGCAAGCAGAATTCCCTCCCTCCCCCATTTTGATGACAAAGAAGTCAGGTCTGTAACAATATATCTACAAGTGTCTGCCACTCTGGTCCAATTGACAAGATCGGGATATCATTACCTAATTTTTTCACTTTCCCGGAAGTGAGACGTTGTATAATAGCATGAATAGAAAAATTGCAACACCTGTAATGAGTTGAGAATGGTAAAGATGTACTGAAACACGAGTCCAGCGTCTGTTACGCTTAGAATACCAAACACCCAGGTCAGTCCCAGAAGAGGAAACAAAACTGCGCATGCCTTAACACCTTGTCGGACTTTTTCAAGTTCCGAGGTTTTCCCGCTCCGCATCTTAACGATTTCGTTAACCACTCTGCCAAGGAGGACTGTATTTATCTGTTTGATGAGAAACGAAAGGAAGAGAATTAAATTAAACGATGAAATGGCAGATTAATTTATCACTGAAAACTATCGGAGTTTCTTTAATTCGACAATTTGATCAAAAGGCAAGTTCAAAATGATGAAGTAACATAATTACTTCATAATGCAGTTGGGTGAGATAGTATTTTATGTTTCTGGTAACTCACCGAACAAACAACGAGAACTGGAGTAACAAAGGTCCATATGAGGTTATTGGTGAAGGAAACCCAGCAGCTATATTAGAGAAGATAGGAAAACACATTTTGTTGCCTTTTTTAAACCAGTAGAAATTAATTCCAATAAATAAGTCGTTGTCAAAAACTGCGTAAGAGCTGTTAAAGTATCAATAAAAGCAATTATATTGCTACATATCAAAAAAAGCTGGGCCAAAATTGTACATTATATGAAGTCTTCACTATGACGTGCTGTCGATTCCATGTTCTTGCCTTTAGTATCCATATCCTGGAACAGCGTTATAAATGCTGGGCACGAGGAAGCATTGTTATTATTGTACATTCAAACTAATTATCCGTATCTGATTGGCTCAAATCCACCGGCTAATTCTTCATAACCAGCTACTGTTCTCCAACAAACTTTGGAAGATGTTTCTGATATTCGGTACAATGACATCAATAGAATAGGCTGTCATCAGAAATAAAGGACAGCAATCGAGAAGCCCTGGGAACGACGTTGCGTCAGCTCACATGTTTTGTAAAGAAGTAGCTAAACTTAACTGCCTCATGATCAAAGGAGGAACAGCAAATTAACAACTCAACGGATGACAGTTGATATTTGAAGACTATCTGGAAGACTAAATATCCCTTTATATCCTGAATTTTTCAAGGAAGAGACAAATGATGATTGGAACTTAACCTCGATCGAGGAGGTATTAGCATGTTGAAATTGAGAATTATTTTGAATGAATAATTAATTTAAAAAAAGGGATTCGGCTTTCTTAGGATCTGAAAACTTATGGAGATCTTGAAGGGTGTTATACGCCTTGACCTTTAGCCGCGTAAGATAAATACCTTCTCGATCGCGATCTACATGATTTTTCAGGCCATGCGGAAGCCGAATCCAATAAGTGCTTGTTTACTGTGGCCAAACGTCTGTAACTTATGTCTGTCAAGAAAGCGCCTTGTTTTACTTACAAGTCGCCATGAACATATCCATGTATTCCACCATCTTGAGTAGAGGCAATCAGCATCGATATCAACACAATCAAAAGAGGTAGGCCTGAAATACGACAGAAATGACGAAGTATTATACACTCTAAGACCGGCTGAAAAATTGCTTCCAGTTTCTTTTGAAGAAAGGTTTTAATGTCGTGACAATTTCTATATAACAGCAAAAGCAAAAGGTGTACCTAGAAAATTTCCATAAATACTCACAGTTTTCTAACTCGACCCTAACCCGTATCCCAAACTGTTTTTGGGCGGAGAACTTAACAAAATTGCCCTTTCTTTTCGTTATGATGAGATAATAAGCCTCAGAGAACAGCCGACATTTCGCCACGTCACCACTGGTTTCCACGCGAAATGATGTTTGAGCAAAGAGCGCAGAAATTTCATACTGATGACACGTCACTACCAAGAGCTGAGTAGTGCGTCTGATTGGATAAAGTAGTTTTCAACCAATCAGAAGCACTACCCAGATCTTGATAGTGACGTGTCAGCTGTATGGAGTTTCTGCGCTCGTTGCTTGGATGCAATTTGGCGTGGAAACCAGTCGGATGGCGTCGCGAAATGTCGGCTGTTTTCTCAGGCCATGATATATCAGTCTGTCAGGCAGCAAATTACAACTGGCTCGTGTGGAAAAATTGGATTAAAAAAAATACCGCATTTTGTTTGAAAAAAAAATATAGAGAGAGAGAGAGAGAGAGAGAGAGAGAGAGAGAGAGAGAGAGAGAGAGAGAGAGAGAGAGAGAGAGAGAGAGAGAGAGAGTTAGATTGAAGGGCATTTATGCAACGTGCAATAGGGCATCTATGCCACATTAGGGCATTTATGTCACGTTAGGTAGGGCACTTTCGTCACGTAGGGCATTTTGGTAACATTGAGTAGGGCATTTCGGTCACATTAGGGCATTTTTGTCACAGAGGTTAGGGCACTTCGGTCACTTTAGGGCACTCTGATCACATTAGGGCATTTTTGTCTCGGGGGTTAGGGCACTTTAGCCACATTTTCCGCCCCACCCCCTCCCTCCCCCTATAAACAATAAAAGCTGGTCTCTGTCCTGTTCTTAGACGTCGACCATATTTTGGACTCCTCGGATGCAATCTTCAATGGTGCCAGCAACAAAAACTACGTAGGATAGCCTTCCATAGGGGTTGGGGAAATGCGAAAAAAAAAAATGAAATGTCCCAAATCCAACCGGCTACCTACGTTGTTTAGTGTTTCAAACAGACGAGTCGGCGTTAACCTGAACTTTCCAAAACAGTAAATTTATGTCCTAACGACTTACCGTGGAAAAATAAAAGAATGTTAATATTTATTATTCTACAAAAGTGAGAAGTGAGGGGATGTGCCCCTTCCCCAAAAAAACAACAACAAAAAAACAAAAACAAGAGGGGCACTTCCCTAGCCCTCCAGATTTCGCAGCCTATGATATTTGACCTCAACGACATGCCAGCTGTGTGTTTCGGACACCTTTTCCCTCCCTCTGCTTTGAAGACTGTCCTTTTTTCCATACGGTAAAAACAACCTGCTCCACAGAATGTCACTGATAACACGTAACGCAAAAGAGTATCCAAGTATGACTGCACAATAAATGTCACGAAATCTACCTAGGCGGTCCCTTTGGGATTTTCAGTCTTTACGTCATCCTAACTATTTCGTACTTGCGGGCGCAAACAATAGAAACGTCATCATTACCTACCGATTCCTCGCGGCCCCTGTTCAAGCAAAATATTTTTTCTGGCATACTGACTGTATATTTTAACTGTAAGTACTTTCTTTAATATACGCGCGAGTTACTAGAGTGCATCCTCGATTTGTCTAAGCACAGTTTCCGATATGGTATGGATTAATTTTGCATATGAGGGCAATCGTCAACCATAACCCCGCGGAGGTTTATATAAAGCATCAGCTCAACGATCAAACATTAATCTCCAACATTGCTTTTGTCATGCACAACATGAGATGGCTTAACGATCATTGATCAACATGCTCTTCCAACACGGTATTCAACGAAAATGTTTGACCGTTTAGCCGTGGGCTTAAGGACGGGCTTATTTTAAGTGGCTTTTTCTTTTGGTGCGAGGCTTTCAATTTGGTCGGGCTTATAAATGAGGGTGCTGTGCGGTCATTATGTGCGAAACGCCATCTTAGTCTGGTATGAATCACCAAAGGAAGGCTCTCATGAGGTCTAAAGTGACCTCAACGCTACTTGTTCTTTGTGAGCATCGCGGAAAACTCTTGTCAATACAGATGACTGAGAAAAACCTTTTAAAATTTTTTTTTGTCAAATTATTAGCAAGTATAATGTAAATATTAAGACTAAAATGCTTGTCTTTTTTTTTTTTTTTAATTTCGGGTTTCATCCTTTCAATGAATATAAAACTCTCCTTACTTAAAATAACAGTATTGCCGAAAAAAAATTTGATTTACAATAACTCTTGGAAATTTTAAAGAAAGCAAGAGTTCGACTTACCAATCAATTATCACAATCAAATTTCAAAGTACTTTGAACATGAAAAACAGGAAGTGTGTTACTTATTTCAACATGACAAAAAAACTACGCCTTATTAATATTAACATGACAAACCTCTAAAAAGAGACATAACATGACAACAAAACTAGCTTCAAATCAACTACGCCTTGTTAATATTAACATGACAAACCTCTAAAAAGAGACAACACCTAGCTCTCTTTAAGTATGCCTTTGTTTTAATCCGTCCCTCATATTGTAAGCGGTTAAGGATTTCTAATACTGTAAATTTAGGCAAGCGTTGCCTCCCAGCTTCATCTTTTTCATCTTATTTAAACTGGCATCAGAAACCTCTACAAAAAGACATAACAGTGAACCTAGCTTAAGTACGCTTTTGGTTCATCCGCCTCTCATATTTTAAACGGTTGACAATCTGATCTACGGTAAACTTTTTTAAGAATTGCCTCCCAGCCTCGTCTTCTTCAAGAATGTTCTTTACGGCTGGTTTTGAGATAATTCCACTCTTGATTGTAGGCTTAAATAGCCGAAGGAGATCCTCCTTTTCCCTTAAGGAAAAAAGGTTTCGGCTCACGTAACTTGAATTTGATGGTGGCACAAATTCTGAAACACTTGAACTTGACATATAGCGACTCATTTTGTCTGAAAAAGTTTCTTCTTCGTCTGGAGGGTCAACTGCACCAGCAGTCTCCAAGTGACTTTCATCACGTTTGTGACGCCATTCACTGCGAACTCTGTCGCAGATCTTTTTAGGGTCGTGATTGCAAAGGATCGCATTATGTGTTATCTTTTCTCTGACAAGTGCCATTGTTACCGACTTCTGGTCGATTTCTTCACGGAAAAACTCTCTTATGGCTTCTATTTGTTGCTTGTTCCAGGTTACATGTTTCTCCGTGCTATCTTTAGTACCAGCAGGAATATCTTCTTCCATAGTAGTAATGGAATCGCCTCCCTCCAGTACTTTTTTTGTTGTTCTCATAATGGAGGGAAGCTCGGCTGCTGCTTCAACACAGGATTTTTGTTTCTCGTGAAGTTTGTAGTACCTTTGGGCTGTCGACTCTTTGTGTGCCATGAGATCAGCGAGTTTTCCTGTCATGTCTTTGTGGTTGGTATGTACGGCAGTCACCGCTGACTTTCGGAAAAGAGTTGAACTGATATGACCCTCTAACCCTGCTTTTTTCCAAGCGGCGTTGATTGCAGTTGATATTTGGCCTGACACGACCTTTGCTCCACTCCACGACAATATCACAGAGTCATTTTCATCTTTGGTCGAATTTACTACACTTCTCACTTCATTAACGTACACTTTCAGGTAACCAAACAGTTTAGGTGAAGGCACGACTCTGGCAGGACCATGAATGGATGCAGTCTTATGGTTCTTTACACTTATTACGTAGCTTCCATTGCTTTCATGCTTTGATTTGTTGAACTCACCTATAGTCATGTTAGCTAGCACACCCGATCTATGGGCATTAGCAATTGTCATTTCAGTTAGGATGAAATCTCTAATTAGTGTGTACTGTTCTTGGTTAAGTTGAATACAGTGAGCCCCACTAAGCTGACCAATGAGGGACACTGCTCTTCGTGTTGATTCACTCTGCTCAAATGTAGTCACCATCTCAGCTGTTATCAAGTTAGAAATATCTTCATCCTGTTTCTCCAAATGCCTACGTTGACAATCTTTCTTGTATGAAGTCGACCACAAACAGGCTTTCTCATCAATTACATTAATAGTAGCATCGTCCACATTTACGCCCTCAGGACGCTCTGTTAAGACAAAGCTGCAGAAATATCGTAGACTTAACAAGTACGATTTAATAGTGTCAGGTTTGTAGGTTTTTTCAGCGTGATCTCTTAAGAAAGTGTCACGAATAAGTTTACGATCAAATAGCGACGCCAGATCTTTGTTCGGGTCAATAACAGTAAGAATCTTTTCTACCTGTGAGGCATGCTGTTTCGACATTTTGTGCGGTTTCCTTCCACCATCAGTTGTCTGTAGCCAGCTTATGAAAGAACCAAATATGCCATGGCTCATTTCTAAATTGCCAGTGCTTTCAGCTTCCGTTTGTGAATCACTGTCAGGTGTGCCTTCATAGCCACAGTTGTCACCATCACTGATACTATCTGAATTTTCTGTGCCGCTATCCTTGTTGCCGTCACCTTTCACGCTAGTTCCAGCTACGCTGTTATTATCACTGTTGCTACTGAGGCTTATTTCGGCTTCTTCAGTTCTTCTTGACACCAGTGCTGATGATCGCGAAGGTTTTCTTGGCCGAGCTTCTTTTAATATGGCTTTGTATTCCGATAAGCCCTTCCGTATTTCTTTGTGTACTTGCCGTAAATGTTGGGAAAGTCGCTTTACTATCGAGTGACAACCTGAAATTGGGCACTTGCGGTGGTAATGATAGTCTTTCCACTTGCGGTCTTTTCCTTTTCCGTCCATGTTAGTAGACGAAAAGCTTTCCCGCATTCCAAACCTGGAGGTCGCCTTTTTAGCTTTTTCTCTGGCCCATTTATGAACGTCTCTCAAATGGCGAGGAAGATCACGTACCTGTGATTTACACCCTTTAATGGGGCAAAGATATTTTTTTCTGGTCTGACGAGAGTTGCCACCGTTGTTTTCACCTTTAACTGCCTTTTTAGATACCTTCTGCTTTTCGTCGACGCTGTTGTTGGGATTATCCTCTTCTTCCCAACCAGTGCTTCCTACCTCCTCATCACTAGGTTCATCCAAACATTCGAGGGGCGGTTGTCGAAAATCATCAATGTCGAAGTCTTCTTCAACGGGCTCATATTCTCTCATCCGGAGTTTGTTTACCCATTCATTTTTCCTGTCTTCCAATTTTTTCCTACACTGCAATTAACACATTTCAGCAAAAGGTAATTAAGTTAATACGCGTGATCACTAAATCGTCTATTGGGCCTAAATTACCCACAATTTAGCATAGTTTTGCCCGTATATTACTCTACTTAGTGGCAGTTTCATATGCTATCATAAACTAATTATCTCATAAGTAGGTTGAGTGTGATCGTCCGGGTGATCGACTCTGAAGACGACTACCGCACATTTTGTCGAAAGGTCAGTCACTGTCAACAACAACAGTCCTATTCAGGACTACGTTCACCCGGACGATCATCCTCAACCTATACGTGTGAATTCAACACGGTAAAAAATTACAAATTTTGGACAAAAACCATGGACTAACCCCTTTGAAAAAATCCCAGTTTTTCGCCTTTTTTAACTCCTTGTTTTTATAGTCTAGAAAAGCTTTTTTTCTTTCTAGAATATCGTCAAACACATTTTCCTTGCCTATTTTATGTAAAATAAAAACATGGAAAATTTTCAAATTTTGGTAGTAGTCAAAACCATTGTTTCATAGCTTTGCTTTAACAAGAACAGGATCTATGTTGAGAAAGATTGGATTACTTAAGGACAGATTATGATGTAGGTATGAATATAAGAAAATCATATATGACAACTGCGGGGTGAAGAACTATATGACGGGTTTATAACGTAACAAGGAAAGATAAATGAGAGCGCGCTGATCACTAATTTGAAAATGAAAGATAAATCAGAGCGCGCTGATCCCTTGCGTTACAATAAAAGATTAACCAGAACACGCTGATCACTAACGTGACAATGAAAGGTAAATCAGAGCTAGCCTGTGAACAGGCTCTCTGTTTTGGGAAAAAATTAGCAAGGAAAGTTCCCCGCTCGACCAAAGGCCTGTTCACAGGCTAAATCAGAGCACGCTGATCACTAGAGTAAGAATTAAATTCAAATCAGAACGCGCTATCACTTACGTAACAATAAAAGATAAATCAGAGCGCACTAAACACTAACGTAACAACGAACAATAAATAAGAGCGCTCAGATCACTAACGTACGTAACAATGATAGATAACTGAGAGCGCACTGTTCACTAACGTAACAATGAAAGACAAATCAGGGTGCGCTGATCACTAACGTGACAATGAAAGATAAATCAGAACTCGATGACCACTAACGTAATAACGAAAGGAAACTCAGAGCGCGCTGATCACTAACGTAACAATGAAAGATAACGGAGAGCGCGCTGATCACTAATGTAACAACGAAAGAAAACTCAGAGCACGCTAATCACTAATTTAACAATGAAAGATAAATCAGAATGTGCTAAATACTAACGTAACAACGAAGGATAGAAATGAGCGCCCTGAACATTAATGGTAAGAGCGCTGCACCGGTAACGCAGAGGTCAAGGGTTCGAATCCCCTACAAGCCTGAATTTTTCAGGCTTTCTTTTCCCAATTGCAAAAGTTGCCTCTATAACTGCGATGATCTTCTTTCATATAATTCTTCACCCCGCAGTTCTCATACATGATTTTCATATATGATATCTTTCATATAATTAAGGACAGATCATAAGAAACGTTATGGGGAAGTGAAGGGGCTGGGGAGGCAAAGCACCCAAGAATATTCATGCAAGAGAAATTGAAAAAAAAATCATGTGGCTAGAAAATTGCCTGCACACCTCAAAAATCCTCTTAGATGAATGTTTTGGGTACTGATATAGATGTATATAAAATAAACCTCAAATGATCTTCTTACCTGCTCGACTCTTTCTTTAACTCCTGACATTAGTGCTTTTGCAAGGTCTGATTTTGCTTTTTGTATACCAACAAGCAGTTCCTCAGACATGGTTGTAAACCCTAACAGATTTCAAAGAAAATTCTGCATCAGAAAATAGTACTATATATGTAGCATAGTTTTCCCCCTATATAAGTGGCAGTTTCATATCCTTTCATAATGTATTCTCCTTAGTAGGTTGAGCGTGATCGTCCGGGTGAACATATATAGTCCTGAATAGGACTGTTGTTGTTGACAGTGACTAATGGAAAATGCAACATCACTCCACAATCCTTGTTTACGCGAGTCCTGTCCATTATTAATTTTTAAGTTAAACTCATGTTCGATCTCTTCTTCGATCTCCTCTTCGATCTCATGTTGGATTAATTTCATAGAAATGTGAAATTAAGTGCCATGGGAAAGTGCCAATGGTTTTAACTACTGCCAACATCTGTTTAGAACAGTTTCCATGCCGCTTTTCACTGACATTGAGTACACGGTGAAACGTAGAAAAGCGGCCTTTCCATTTTCTCGAACAATCCTTCAATGTTATTGAAAATCATTTATGCTGCGTAGTCGCGGATACGTAACATGGAAATTTGATGTTGCATTTTAAATTTTTGGCCTCATAAAAAATGTTTTTCACGATTAAAAAGAGGACAAGAAAAGCATGTGCTACTCACCTCGTGTTTCGTTTTACGGGCAATTCAAATATGCATCACAAAGTGTCATACTGTAAACGTTGCTGAAATCACTCGTAACCAAGCAATTACACATGCCATACATTACAAATCCGATAGCGAAAAATGGAATGAATGTAATATAGCTCTTTTTCTGTTTCGTTTTTGAAAATCGATTGATAAAATTTTATACCAAGCATGACCAGGTTTGTATCAGCGGTAATGGGTAAAGGGGGGCAGGTGGAGGCAATTACACATGCCATACATTACAAATCCGATAGCGAAAAATGGAATGAATGTAATATAGCTGTTTTTCGTGTTTCGTTTTTGGAAATTAATTGATTAAATTTTCTACTAAGCTTGACCAAGTTTATATCCGTGGGAATGAGTAAAGGGGGTGGGTGGAGGCGGAAAAAGCACAAAAGACCCGCGTACTTACCGATCCGATAGTGAGAACTAAAAAGAAAATGTACGACAGCTGCTTTTCGAGTTTCGTTTTTGGAAATAAATTGATTAAATTTTCTACTAAGCTTGACCAAGTTTATATCAGCGGGAATGGGTAAAGGGGGTGGGTGGAGGCGGAAAGAGCACAAAAGACCCGTGTACGTATAGATCCGATAGTGAGAACTGAAAAGTAAAATGTATAACAGCTGTTTTTCGAGTTTCGTTTTTGGAAAAAAATGGATTAAATTTTCTACTAAGCTTGTCCAAGTTTATATCAGCGGGAATGGGTAAAGGGGGAGGGTGGAGGCGGAAAGAGCACAAAAGACCCGCGGACGTACAGATCCGATAGTGAGAACTGAAAAGTAAAATGTATGACAGCCGTTTTTCGTGTTTCGTTTTTGGAAATTAATTGATTAAATTTTCTACTAAGCTTGACCAAGTTTATATCAGCGGGAATGGGTAAAGGAAGTGGGTGTGGGGGGAAAGGGCCAGTGACGCCATCAAAATGATATGGAAATCTAATTTTGTAGGGAGGATCGGTCACTTACAAAACGGTCCAAAAACGTAGGCAATTACGCTGAAAATCGTAAAGCTCTTTCAGCAAAACTTGGTACATCACCCTTTAATAGTGGGTTGTACTGTTTGGGAGCCTCAAAATATACGAAATTTTGCTGAGTGAGGTTTTTTTTTTTTTAATTATGTACTTCAGGAGCGTAGCATTCTTATAAGCACATACGCACGGAAAAAAAATGTTTCTTTCCTGAAAAAGCCTTTTTTAGTATTTGTTTTGATAATATATGTTTCTGGATTGAAAGTACTGTATCAGTGCATTCTTTTGACGTAACAACATTTCCATTTATTCCAAAAACAGGTAGTTTTAAAGCGACTATAAATCTACTTGACAATTAGGGCATTTACGCAACGCGCAATATATTCGTATTGCAAAACGCTAAAAACTTAAAAAAAAATGTTAGCCGCTGTTTCCTCGAGCCAGTTTTTTTGTGAAGAAAGAATGCAATATATGCTAGTGTTTTGGGGAATTTCAACTGAAAACACTCAGGAATTCCAGAGATATAGCAACTTCTTTAAAAAAAAAGTGCTTCACATTTCGAATGAGTTTTCAGAACCTCAAAAATGGATGAAGAAGTATATGATACTACGGCGCTTTTTTGTCGATTGCAAAATCTCGGAAGAGACTGTTTGTGGATCACGAGTGAATGGCTAGGAAGAGTTTAACAGGTCGAATACCTCTAAATCCACGCAAAAAAGCACTTTAAAATGTCTTTAAAAGGACCATCCACGGAGTAGGGAATTTTTGCAACTTCGCAACATGTTTAATAGCTGTAAAAACAATCAAAATATTGGTAAAAAGTTGAAACAGTGTGTGGTTGTTAGTATAGTTATTAGGCATCGAAAAATCATAACAAGCAATTGTGAGTAACCTTTAGAAGAAAGCTTTAACGAAAGGAGGAAAAGTGACAAAAAATGCCCTACTTTATATCTGCAGAGAGAGAGAGAGAGAGAGAGCCGATTTTTTCACAACCAACCTAACGAAATCTGCAGTCATTTGAGTGAAAAGCCGTCAAAAGCCAGGTTTTTTAAGGCTGATAAGCTCCAAAGTAACACCAACGAAGGAAAAGGAAAAAAGAAAAAGTAAGAGCGAGGAGGGAGAAAGGAGGAGAAGCGAAAAAAACAATGGATGTACTCTTAGTTTTTATAATGGCTGCTCTGGAGATAGTTTTTGACCGAAAAAAAAAAAACTGTTGGATGGAAGAGGTCTATTTGGCGATAACGTTTTCAAAAACCCGGCTAGATACATATTACAAGGTTAAACGTTTATTGAACCAAAATTACTTCACATGATCATGTCACACGTTTTAAAAGGAGCGATTTTTAATTCAGTCTAAGAACAAACAGAAAGAAGAAAGAATGCTAAATTCCACAACATTCTGTCTTCAATGGCTGACGCTCGAGTGACGTAACTCATCACCTGCCTATTGTTTCTATTTTCAATGCTTCCAAAACAATACTTCATTCAGTTCAGATCAGTTAGATACTTACCCCAGGCCACTGCATAGAAAAGGCGCATTTTGATCACTGTATTAAATACTTTTACCACCATCAGATACAGGTAAACACCCTCAAACAACATCCAAGCGAATGCCACAAGGTAGAAGTAATGAATCAGACCCGCCAAAAAGATACACAGTCCCTGTGGAAATTCAACAGAAAAAAGGCATAACGATTTCCTTTTGAAAGAATTTTTAAACGCTGTCGTAGCTCAAATTACGACAAATTTCATGGAAGAGTGCGAAGTCGCAATTTCTTTGTTTTTTCTTCACCGCTTGGTTTAAATGTGGGAAATATTCAAATTGGTTATAACAGTAACACGATTCCAACTTCCGTCACAACTAGAATATCTTTGTGACACTGTACTTATGTAAATAAAGTGGAATTTATTACTGTAGCAGAAAGTTGGGCTCAAAACTCTCCTATAGCCAACATAAAACGACCGACCAAGGCTGAACAGGTACCTGTAAAGCTGATGCTTCAATTCCAGCAAGGAAGGTGATTTGGGCGATTGCTATGGCAATGACGAGGTTGAGGCGAATTTGAATCTGCTCCTCCTTTAAATTCCTAACAAAATAACAAGGCAAGGTAAAAATAGCATGGCTATTTTTAAATGACTCATTTTCAAAAGATTACAGCCTATCATATTATGCATAGGCATAGAAAAAAAAACTCACATGAGAATCCAGTACGCAACAATTGCAAGTGCTTCTCCTACTAGCGAGAACGCACAGCCAACGTAAGTGATTACTTCCAACTTGTCTTTATGGCCTGAAAAAACCTTTGAAAATGAAATACATTATGTGATGTGGCCAAAAAGTATTACTTAAACTTGCTCCAGTAATTTTTCTAATTTTTCTTTTTTCTTTAATAAATGAAACTACATGTTAGTCAATTCTAATGTAAATAGTGCTTTGACTGAATTGTTTTTTAAGTGAAATTAATGGTAAATAGGGTTTTATTGTTATCAATAAAAAATAGGGTTATTATTACTTCAAAAAATTCTAATCTAGTTTTAATAATAATAATAATGATAATTTAATGATAATAGTAATAATTATTATTACTATTGCCTAACGTTTTAATCGTGGTAAGTACGTACGAACTTACTTTGTTTAAATAACTTAAGTTCATCTACCCGATAGACCAATTTCAATGTATTAAAATTTATACTTGCCCAGGTCGCTTAAGGGAATGAACATAAAATGAATGTATTATTAATATATTCATTGCTGAGCCTAAAGATGATTTGTTTTGATTTATTCCCCTAAGCCTCGGAGCCAAGTATGAATTTTAATATATCGGAATTGGTCTCATATGATTTTATTATATTTTTCTGGCTGGAAAAACGTCTCACTGGAGCCGTCAATATTTTCTCAGGTGTTAGTAAAAAACGTTTTCGACAAACGCATCACTCTTGCAATGACGTCGAACAATTAATCATTCTTAGATTTTATAACTGCATGCCTACTACAAGTTACTTCAGACCGCGATCGAGTCGAAGGCATCAAATCATTTACAGAGTACTGGCCTCGTAGGTTAGTTTACGACCTTGCTTGCGTTGTGTCATTCAGATTCAAAGACGAATGAAAAGCAAAAGTCATCTGCTGGCCTATTCGATCACTAACCTCATTGCTTCCAATTTGCATAAGAACAGCAAAGTATGTAAGGTGATTACAAGAACACGTTATTTCATTGTCGATTTTTTTGACCAACGAGCATCCTCTCTTAGACCAATACCCAATTATGTCGCATCTACAATAATTGAGAGAAAAAAGAGAAAGACTATTTAGAATACATATTAATAGTAATAATCAGAAAGTTTCTCTTCTTCGGGAGCAGCAACGAAAAGGTTAAAAACATAGGTGTGCTATTAGCGCATCTTAGTGGTCTGAGGCTTTATGGATGTGAGGGTGGTTTTATGCGATAAAGAGATGGGGTCAACGACAAGAAACAAGGTTTGTTTTTAAACGTACTTCGACTCAAAATCCCAGAAGACACAGTGTGGAGTGACCTCTTCTTCTGCGTCCTAGAAATTTACAGTAAGCAAGTAAAAGACTTAAAACTGAATTACATGATAAATTTACAAATCAACAACTAGTTTTGTCCCTTAAGGTAATTCCCTTGAAAAGAATGTACTATCCAGATTTTTCTCAAACTTGGCACAATTGACAGCCATATATAGGACATAAAAAACTGTAATATAAGAGATGCGGTCACCGTGCGCTGCCCGTAGTTCGTCATACCTCCTGTCATTAATGTACTATTTAAAAACATAACCAGCACGCTTATAAATAGGTTCGGGACTCCTTGCTTTTGTTCCGAACCTATAGAAGGAAGAATCAAAATTTGTAATGCAAATCTTGATAGTATAATTTAAATATAACTACAGCTAGAAGAGGTTATACTGGTTTAAATTAGTCTTTTAATCTGTTTTCCTAGTTTTGACGAAGCATATAGCCATCAAAATTTGACAGAATAATGTACTTATCATATCCAACATCTAGGCATAAATTGAATGTTGTCTTTTGACGTCGTCATGACGTCATATTGTTGAACCTATTGGCAAAATCATAATTCCCTTTAAAGTAGCCACAAGGCGAAGGTGTCTGATAAAGTCAAGAAGCTGGCTAACACTTTCATTTTGATAATCTAAAATATTTGCAATGATGTCAAAAGAAAGTCATTAAAGAAGGAACCGGAACCATCCACTTCCATGGTTCTTCATTTTGCATTAATCAAATGTATCCCCTTTGACTTAAAACCCGTATAAATCAAGATGATCATTATGGAAAATTGATCTTTGTATAAAAGGATGGTAAGTAAGAAAAAAAAAAAAAAACAATTTGCAAGTTATTAGATTCGGAGAGAAATGAACCCTGTTGATAATGGAACTCGCCATCTGCTATTTGGTCAGTTCAACTTCATGCTTTTTTCTTAAATTAGTCACTAAAAACCCGGATTCGTTAACAGTTGTATAAATTTAATTAAATCATGCTAAATGAAAAAAAAAAAAAATGGAAACAAGCGAAAAGAAAAAAAAAATGGAAACAAACGAAAAGAAAAAAAAATGCAAATTTTGAAAAAGACAGCTGTCAAAGCTCGGTTGCCATGGTAACCTTAAAGGTGGCGCACATGTACGCGCAACGATGATTTTAAAATTTTCTCATGACAGATAAATTTGATGAAAGGTCGCTAAGTTTGGAATAATAGCATAAACGGTTCTGAAGATATTCAACTTTTTTGTGGGGGAGGGGTTGATCGCGAGGTCTGAAAAGAGTTAACGGAGATTCAATTCAAGGTTATTAATAAAACAAAACTTACAATGTTAACGCTAAATACAATAGTGACGTTTTCTTTGAGAGTGCCGTTAGGTTTAGGATACACTGTACTGGATACTATTCGGCTTCCTAATGTCAGGTTGGAAATGGTTGCGCTGAATAAAAAAAAAACAAACAAAAACAAACAACAAACAACAAAATAAACCTAATTACTTGAATGTACGGAAAAGAAAAAAATGGAGATTGTTTAGAGGTTGAGGGGGACATCGTCCAGCACCATTAATGAAGAATTGATATAAAAACAAGTATATATTAACCATCAAAAGTTGTTCAGTTTTAAAACTAGTCGAGGTAATTATTCTCAATTCCTGTGACATGTACGTTATGTGAATGATTTAGAATACCTCTCGGTAAGTGAGCAGCTAATTAAATTACAATGAGCAAGATATATCGTCCTCGCTCATTTTCTTTGGTAAAGTAAGTAAAGTTTGAAGTTTGACCTATGGGATGAGGCTGAGTATTAATATTTCATGGAAGTATTTTAATTTGTTACCCTCTGAGGAATATATCTTAATAATAATATAATAATAATTATAATAATAACAACAATAATAATAATAGTAAATGACATACTCACCCATTTTCCAGTCTAACGTTTCCAATGCTAGGCATATATTCTTCAATGCCATTATAAAGAATGCTCACAACAACAACGTCTAAAGATATTAACATAAGTTAAAACAGAACACTACAACGAACAAGCACAAAAAACATACACCCTACACGGACAAAAAATAATGATAATAAAAATGAAAATTTATTTCATGAAAAAACATGCTTTTACTTCAGCTTGTAGGTGAAATTAATAATATTGATTTTCTGAAAGTAATTTGTTTTCAGACGATTATGATTTTAATTCATTTTTCATTCAGCAATTTCTACTGCTCCGTTTCTATATTGCGGTGCAAAGGTAAGGAATTTCCAGTGTACCTTGGGTCAGGACAACACGGTAGGGGCTGACGTTAATTACGTTAAGCAGTACTTGCCTTCTTGCCCTTCAAAGACTGCCAAGGGAATGGAAATCCTCGCGATGTCAGTCTCTCCCTTTGAGAAATCTGTTTCATTGAGAGAAAAACTGATCGCTTCCTCGTGGTTCGCTGGTATTTGCTGAACTTTCATTGCTACAAATAGTAAAAAATGTTAATAACAAAGACACTATCAGTAATTTTTTCATATTCAGTGATCTTGCCATCAATTACATTTAAGTGTAGCTAACAAGAGGGAGGGTGGGGGGGGGGGGGTGGGGTGGGAAGAGCAGCTAATGTAAAAAGCCTTGGGTGCAATGCACTAAGCTAAATTACTTCTTTTCGTGTGCGGCAAAGTATATTAGAAAATAACACCTCGTGAGGCCATGAGAAAAATATAGATATAACTTGTTTGATAATTGTTTTTGTTCTGAAAGGTTTTAAGAAAGTCGATCATTTATTAGAATTTGCTCTGGTTCACTGTCCCGTCTGACTGATAGCTTATCGGTTGCATCAATTTTTAAGTATTTATTTAGGAAAATGATACATAGGCAGGCAATTTTTAAAGGACATTATCCCTAATCTTTTACACCGCGTATCTCTATGGCCACAGAGAACTCACAGAGAACATAACAAGGCCAAGGGGTGAATCCAGGAATTCAGTTTGTTAAGGGGATCCAACATACACACTGTTAAAGCCAATCCTCCTCCTTCCACACCACTACGTGTTAGTTTCCACTACGTAGACCCTTGGTACGCCGCGTAGCACATGTAACATTCTTTTGGTTTAGTAACCAGCTTTGAAATACCAGGAGAGAATAATGGTACAGAAAGGGAAACACCCAGTCCAGCCATAATTCTATCTTGGAATACTCGTCTCTTCTGTTAAGTCCAGATTTTCGTCAATTTAAACAAGTCCCATGATTGAAAGGTATGGTACAATGTAATTTTGTAATTGCTATTTTGTTATTGTAGTTCATTATATGTTTTAAGTCACAAGATAGGATGACACCTACTTATGTTAACACTCACCGAACCATTTTTGAGAGATCACTTGTGTTTGCTTCGGTGGCTTATGAATTTTGCAGTACCTGAAGTGCCTGAAGTACCTGTTAGCAAACGTCTCAAGTTCTTGAGCGGCTGCCAACATGATGATTCCATTATCTTCAGGCGTATTGTTCGTTAAATCTTCGAAATAGGCGTTGGTCATTGTGGCTGCATTCTAAAGAAATTAAGAATTTAAAGTGCTTTGAGATGCCTTACAACGCATAGTTTAAATGTAAAAAATAAGTTCTTAATTCCCTAACAGCGGAGCTCCACGCTTGCTCCCACCTGACCGTACATCAGCCCGCCCGACCGTCCGTCCGCACCACAGTGTTAAATCTCACACTTGCTAGCTAGTTCGGGAACCTGCCACCTGATGTTGCACATCGATGATGTGGTCAATTGACAATCTCATACGCAGAGTCTTCTGGCTTTCTGGTCAGCGGGGCAACTCAGGGTTTTCAGAGACAATCCCCTCTCAAAACTTGTGTTCGTGAATAAATTTTTTTCTGCAAATGTTTCATCGATATATACTTCTTGTGTTGATTGTTCATTTAGTCTCTTTCGCTGTGCCCGTTGTTTTCAGCCGTACATGAACATCGCATGCAGGAGTACTCAAAATGCCGCGTGTACCAAACGTACAAAAACTTTAAAATATAAGCATATTAATAAAATTTTTATTAAACTGAAGCGTAAATCTAGTTCTAAGCATTATCTTTCAAACACTCGACAGCTCGCTCTGATTTTTGGCGCTTGCTCAAAAGTGAGAACCAGCTGGCCGTATAGATAAAAGCCCATTATTACCCTGCGTACCACATAGGAGCAGATTGTTCTTACTGAACCGTACCGAAATTGTGGAATTCTTTTCATGAAAACGTTTTATAATGTGGTCAATTCTATAATTTGTTGTACAAGGGAAGCGCGTGCCTCGAGCCTCCTGAATATTGACATGAGAGAGTGCAATTTGTCTTGCAAAATTGTGAAAAACTGCTGATTTTTTTCTAAGGTCTGTACGATAAACAAACAGTACCTGATAGTACTGTTTATCTCGGATGTGATGTATAAAAAGTATAAAAGGCTGGTTTACACGACACCAGATTAGCCGGAAAGATTTTAGACAGAGGAATTCAGCCGATAACTCATAACGTGTAAATTGGCTGCCACCGAAGACTTTATGGCATAAGATTATTTTGGGGGCTGTCCAATCAACCTTATTAAGAAATAAAGGTGGGCGATTGGGTTACTTTGTTTGGGAAGAATTTGTTTTCCAAGCCTAATCTACATTAATCAAAGGTGCATGATTGCATTATTTTTTGGGGGAGTACATATGAGACTATTAACTATAATCACTTAGCCTTTCCCTCAAAAATCATATGAATGTGCCAAAAGTTAACTGATTTCATTATGGATTACAAGTCTATTGTTTGATTTAAATTATAAATTTAGTAACGGGATCTTCGCTTTTAGCCCTGGTTAAATCTGTATATTAGTATTAATACTCCTCGAAGACTTTCTTTTGAAAAAATTCGCCTGTTTCTCGGCACAGTTATTTGCGTGTCAGCAAGTGGTTATTGTTGGTAATTGGTTGCTATATGGTAAAGTAGTCATTATCAAAGTTTAAAATGCATCCTTTGGTTTGTTTTCGTCTCCTTTGAACTCCTCCACATGACCCTCCCCACTCCTCCCTTCCCCCTCCTTCTTTCAAACTATAGTGCTGACCCTGAACTAGAGTTTATGATGTTGACAAAATACCTTTCAAGATTTGCCCCTTTTCCATAACGCACTGAAATGCTTGCCTTATCCATAAGACTTCTTAAATTTTTTCTACCTTCATCTGAAAATTACTCCTGGCAAAAAAGCAATTGTTCCTCAACCCCCTGGTATGTTTTAGTAAACAAATAAAGAAGCCTTGACTGTGCTCTGTTCTGTCGTATCTGCACGAAGGAAGTCTATAGGGAAACACGAGACGTAGTCGAGTATATCTTGAGTGCTCTAGCCGCTTCGTCATTGCTTTACCACAGAATAGAAAACAGTCAAGATTCTTTATTTGTTTTCTGACAAAAAATCCGTTAAATTCCCCACGCTTTACTTGCTAATTTTTAAAACAAACTATCAGCAGATGGCATGACTGCTTTAGCTCTCATTTAAAGTACGCTGTTTGAACCAATCAGAGTGCGCGTTATATCTAAACTTTACTATTAACATATCTTAATGTGAACAGGGTATTATACACCGAATGCAAATATGGCGGATCTCTCGGTCGGCCCGGGTCTAGTTGCGCGAAAGCGAGGCTAGTGAGGCCTCGAGAGTTTTGTTTTGACTGCGCGTCTTAGTGATTCAGTCGATGAATATGGTTTCCTTCGAGTTGTTACGTGCTTAAGAGCCACCAAAGAGGAGATTTAACTCCAGCAGAGACGAAAGTTGATTATCTTCGCTTTGCCAAGGTTCTTTACGAGGAAAGAAATGGATTCAAGCCATGCGGCGCGGCGAATAGAGGCACTTTACTATCACCGAGTTAAAAGAACGAAACTGTGCTCGCTTCACTTCAGAAGAGAAGATTCACGAAACTATTAAAATGGGTGAATAACTGAAAGATTCATGGTTCTCAGTGTTTCAAGTTTGCTTTGTCCGTTCCCTTACCAAGGAAAGGTACATATTCTCGAGAACGAGTGAATCCGCCGTCGCGACTTATCAATCTTTAGGCGCTCTCAGGGACACAACGACAGACAACAAGGCCGAATGTTTTCATAGTCTTCACGATCCTGTGTTCAAGAGTTTAGGCAGTACAATAAAAGAAGCAATTTTTGGAAAATCGCTGTTAGTTTATCTCGAAACCATTCGACAAGGTGCTAAAATTGATCACGCGCAAGGTCAAATACAATGCTCGAATACTTGCACGCTCTTTCTCTGCCAGAACCTTTTTCCGTCTTCTTAGTTTCTTAGTTGGCAACGGTTCCTCTGTTAGTTTTTTCACTTTGGTCAAGGACTGTTCTTGAAATATGTCGCTTTCTTCTGGTTCTTACATAGTTTCACAGACCACGCTTGTAGGATTAGCAGGCGATTGCAATCGCCTGTTATTGTTATTGTTGTTGTTATATTTTAATGCAGCTGTTTTCAGCGTGAAATCTAAAAGAGTTTACAGTCCACAGCGGATGCACCCGTTCTCGAGAATGTTTACCTTTTGTTGGATAAATAACAGACCATGCAAACATCTTTGAACAGCACCATCTCTTGTGAAAATTATTTCATTCAAATATTTTCGTGAGTGAAGCGAGAAAGTGAAGCGAGCACACTTTCGCTGTAAAGTGCTTCCCATCGCCGCGCCGAATCGCATGAATCCTTAACTTTCTTTGTGAAAAGATCTCGGGGAAGTAAAGGCTATTCCAGCTAGAGTAAAATCTTCTTTTTGGTGGCCCTCCGGCATGCAACAACTCGAAGCAAACCATATGGATCGACTCAATCGCTAAGACGCGCAGTCAAAACAAAACTCTGGAGGCCTCACTAGCCTCGCTTTCGCGCAACTAGACCCGGGCCGTCCGAGAGGTCCGCCATATTTGCATTCGGTGTATAGTCTACAATTTCCGAGAGAAAAGAAATCGGTTTTACCTCTAAGGAGTCTTCTTTCCTGACATCGTGGGTCCGTAGACTGAACTGCTACAAAATTAACATTACCGATTGGTCGATGCAATCTGCTATTAAGCGATTCACTCTTAGCTAATAATAAGACTTAAAATGAAAGCCCTGTACCGCCACCGAAATGATCCCCACCGTCGAAATGATCTCCGCCACCGAAACGACCCCCAATCACCACCGAAATGATCCCCACCACCGAAATGATACCTATTCGCAATCGAAATGTTCCCGTTATAAATTTTCGGAGCCTTGGCTTAAATGGACTTGGGACTTTGCTATCTATTCTAAATTCTTCGTTTATTCATGCAAACACGATTCTAAACAGAGTAAAATAGACAAAGTAGTTAGACTGATAACAGTTCTATGCACTGATTTTATTTTCAAAATGTTAACATTTTTTTAAGGAACTACATAAATCCGCCTTGAACAGGGAACAGGTTTTTCATATAACGTGATAACGAGCAGACAACAACTAGT